TTTTTTTTTATTGACTATCTTTCATCTTTCATCTTTCATCTTTCATCTTTCGTCTTTTTTTTTTTCTTTGTTCTTCCTTTAAATTTCTATAGGTTGATTTTTGTGTTTTTGTTTCATATTCTTATCTGTTTTTTTTTTTTCCTTGAAATTTTTTTTTTGTTTTTCCTTTTTTACTCTTATGTGTACAAAATATGCATGTAGTGAAGGCGGGGAATATGAAACCAGGGTCCATGCGGCGGATTGAGCGTCTTCCTGAGAGTGTAGTGAACCGCATTGCCGCTGGTGAAGTCGTGCAGAGACCGAGTGCCGCACTGAAGGAATTGCTGGAAAACGCCCTGGACGCTGGGAGTACATGTGTGCAAGTACTTGTGCAGGGCGGAGGACTGGAGGTGCTGCAGGTGAGTGATGATGGAAACGGTATTCACTATGAGGATCTCCCGCTTCTCTGCGAGCGGTATGCCACCAGTAAACTACGAGTCTTTGAAGACTTAACTCGCATTAGTTCCTTTGGATTTCGTGGTGAGGCGTTGAGTTCTATTTCTTACGTGGCGAGAGTGACTGTCACGACGATGCGACGTGAAAATAATGAAAACTCAATAAATGAAGCCGTTCACACAACAACCCCATCATCATTATCATCCACAATAGGAACAGGAACGGGAACGGGATCTGGTGCGACATTAGCATGGCGTTGTCATTATGTGGATGGAATAATGCAGGGAAAACCAAAACCGTGTGCGGGTAATCCAGGCACATGTATTCGTGTAGAGAAGATGTTTTACAATGCCGCTGTGCGTCGACGTGCACTTAATAAACCTTCTGAGGAGTACAGTCGTATTGTGGCTGTATTATCACGATATGCTTTGGCATTTCCAACTATCGCCTTTTCCTGCCGTCGTGAAGAAGCGAGTAATAACAGTAATAGTTGTGGTAGTAAGACAGATATCTTTTTTCCCAAAAATTCTACAACTTTGGCCAATATTAGGCTTTTCTACGGTGCTGCCATTGCATCTCATCTACATGAATTAAAATGTGCTGGAACTACTATAAAAACTCAAACGGCTATTTCTGATATTGATAATGTACTATCAATATCAGGAGTTGAAGGAGAAGGTGTTTTTCTTATATCCGGATATACCAGTGATGTGGCACTTGTCAATCGCAAACCATATCTTTGTGTATTTGTAAATAATCGTCTTGTGGAGAGTTCTGTTATTAAGCGGGCAATAGATACTGTTTATAGTGGTATATTGGTAGGGGGTAATCGCCCCTTTACAGTGCTCTTCATCACTGTTCCACCAGATCGTGTGGACGTAAATATTCATCCTACAAAACATGAAGTATGTTTATTGGATGAAGAAATTATAGTTGCACGACTCTCAGAGTCTGTACGGGAAGTGTTAATGATTACATCAGCTCGTCGTCAGATCGATACAAGGCAAATGATGTCGAAAGCCGTTTCATTAGGAGAGAGAGGAGTACAAGTTCAACAGTTATCATCATCACAACGCTCTAATATGATATCATCTGTTGGTGCTAGTGGTAATGGAATAGCAGTAGCACCTTGTACAGTTGTACGTGTGGAGCCACAACGTGGGGCCCTTGATGCCTTTATGCTTCGACGTCTTTCAGCCCCAGAAGAGAAATTAAAAAGTGAAGAGACAATACATGTAAAAGATGAGATGAGGGAAAATGGTATGAGTAGTAGTGATAAGGGAAATAACAGAGATGATATTTTAACCGTTAACAAGGAAGAAGTTATACCTCAAGTGAAACAAGATAATCCAATAAAAATGGAAGATAGGACTACTACTACAGTATTCTCTACAGAAGGAGTACTAGAAAGAACAACAGAGACAGAAACAACAACAACAACAAGAACAGACATGGAAACAAACAATCATAATATCAATACAAACATTACTAGTTCTCTTGTTGCCTCCATAATGAAATTAGGTACTCTCCTTGATGATGATGGGAACACTCTCGATGATGAGATGGATGAGGAAGATGGAGCCGGTTATGTGATGCAGCATTTTAAACGGCACAGAAAAGAAATTCAAGAGGCTGTTGGAATGCCAGACGAGAGTAGTAATAATAATAATAATAATAATAATAATAATACTACAATCCCAACAGCAGCACTAACAACAACAACAACAACAACAACAGAGACTGTTGATCCCAGTCATAGTTCAGAAGTAGTTCCCGATGCACGAGAGGATTTACTATTAACAAGTGTAGCCACTATTGTATCTCACATTCGCCAAGCCACATCTCCCACGGCTCAATCACTCTTTGAACAGTTAACATATGTGGGAGTATTAAACAACTCTACATTTCTAGCACAGTCTGGAACAACACTTTACGCAATAGATACATTGCGTCTTGTACGACTTGTAGTCTACCAACGTATATTCCTGCGTTGGGCCGTAGCTTCACTTCCAACACCACCTCAAGTGGTATTGCGAGATCCCATACGTGTTTCGGATCTCTTATGTTTTGCTATTCAACATGATGTTCAACCAAAATGTGAAACTTCTTTTTCTGAAGAAGAAGTGGAACGAACAATTAGACGAATGGATCGACGTCTTCGACATTGGCGTTGTATGCTGATGGAATATTTCGCTATAGAGATTTCAGAGGATGGACATTTACTGGCATTACCATTTGGGTTAAATGCATCTTGGCCACCAGTTCCACGAGTCATTCCACTGTTTATATGGAAACTTGCAGCAGAAGTGCCGTACGGAGAAGATGAGGTGGAGTGTTTTACTGCAATTGCCCAACACATTGCAAACACATTATATGGATTATCTCTCCATGATAGTTGGATGTTAACTAACTCTGCGATATCATCTGATCCTGAGACTACTGGTGTTGCTGGTGTTGGTGTTGTTAATTATTCAGCATCTTCTTCTTCTACTTCTCCTTCGCCTCTTACGAGTGGGGAACAGGAGAGTGTGCCCTCTTATATAGATGCCATTCGCTTTGGACTTGTTTCCTGTGCGACGAGTGTGAAGTTCTTTATCCCACCAGCCGATATATTGATAGATGGTTCACTCCGGACAGTGGTCTCAGTGGAGGAGCTCTACAAGGTGTTTGAGCGTTGCTGAGAGAAATACATTAAATTCTCTTTTTTTCTTTCTTTCTCTTTCTTTCTTTCTTTCTCTCTCTTACTTTTTGTCACAGAAAGGAGAAAAAGAAAGGTGGTGAGAGAGAGAGTGTGTGTGTGTGTGTGCGTGGGTTTTCCACGATACTATTCTACATTTATCCTCTTTTTTTTTTCGTTTTTCGTTTTTTTTTTCTTTTTTTTTTATTCTTTCAGTTTTTTTTTTTTTTTTGCTCTCATCACATGAAGATTACTGGAAGTAGAGAAGACAAGAAGAAGAAAAAAAAAAAAAAACAGAATGTGTTGTAAACTGTTTGAATAACAGTTGTAGTGGTAGTAATAGGAGTGTTGGATTCAGAGTTTTTCTCTAATTACTGCCGTTTTCTCCTCTCCATTAACGAGTATGGTAAAAAAAAAAAAAAAATGTCTCTCTTCTATTCTTCCTTGTTAATATACAGATACACGCATGAAATCATACCTTATTATTATTATTGTTCACAATCTTTTTCTGTTTAATACATACGTTTACATATATCATTCATTCATTGTTTTTTTTTTTTTTTTGCTTTCTTTCTTTCTTTCTTTCTTTCTTTCTTTCTTTTTCACAATGGTGTTAAAATACGAAAAAAAAAGGAATATATATATATATATATATATATATATATATATATATTGGTGTGGGTCTGAAGAACAAGAGAAAAGAGAGAAAAAAAAAAAGAAAAGAAAAGAAGCCCCACTGGTACGTAAGTGGGTGCATGGTGGGTAGCCAAGAGCTACACACATCACTCATCCCACTTTAAATTCTTTCTTTTTCTTTTTCTTTTTCTTTTTCTTTCTCTCATTCTGTGTTTTTTTGTTAGTATTTTTGTACATGTCTGAACACGGTGGGGAGGATGATATTCCCTTGATGGAGCTATCGCTTGGGACCGTCCTCCCATCCTCGACGACTGTCATCCCAACAGCCACAACCTTATCCACCATCACCTCACTCACAACACCAGATCGTTCTTTATTTCAATCCACTCTCATTAGACGACCGGCTCCTTTACTTCAACACCGGGTAGGACTGCCTGTTGTGCATATACGCACAAGACCTACACTCTCTTTTCTTGGGGATACACGGGAACGACGACGTGTGTGGTGTCTTGATCAACAGAACCTCGTTGTGCGTACGAACAAAGTTACATTGGACAATAGTATTAATAATAATAATAATATTAGTAATAATATTAATAATGGATCTCCACGACGTCCAGCTCATACAAGTAGTACAACACTATTAACACCACATGAATCTCCTATATCACAACGTACATCTGGATTAACAGCATCTCCGGGTAAAAACAAAATCTCAGGTGTTTCCCCATTGAAGGATGTCATGACAGGATCACAACGAGTTTCTCCTGGAAAAGAAACACCACGTGGTCATCGTAGAAGTCTCTCTCGTAATATTAATGCCTCTACTTTCTCTCCAACAAGTCGACGGACGGCTTCATCCAATACACCTGATACATCATCTAGAGTATATGAAGGTGGTGTACGTGAGGAGCATTTTACTTTTGATTATATTCACGCTGAAGATGCAACACAAGAAGAAGTATTTGAAGAGAGTGTATTAGACTTTGTGGATATGGCTTTATTGGCCCAGAGTGTTGCTATCATTTGCTATGGACCTACAGGAAGTGGTAAGACACATAGTATGATGGGATCTAGTAATGGAAAGTATAAAAAGAAACGGAATAGTGCTGCATGTACAGATAGTGGAATTTTATCAGGATCCAGAGGAAGAAGTGAAGATAAAAACAGAAGTAGAAGTGGAAGTAGAGGTGGAAGTAGATATCCTCTTAGCAGTCGACACTCCCAAGGTGCTGTTCATACAGATGCTATCTCAATAACACCAGTAATATCAGGAGGAAAAGAACAACAACAACAACAACAACAACAACAACAACAAGTCCCAACACGCTCTCCAGATAAAGGAGCCGATATAACATGTAGTTCACTCTCATCTTGTATTTCGTTAGCGGAGATTGATTGGCCAATCCTTGCGGAATCGGCTTCAAGTCATGAACAGAAAAGAAAATCATCTGGATCTAGATATTTTCGAAAGAGTATGTGGGAAACAGAAAATGATAATGATATGATGGGACTTCTTCCACGCCTTGTATTAGTTCTACTAGAACGCCGTGGAGAAACCATTACACTTAACAAGGAGGATGTTGTAGTTAAGATACCTCCTGGTAATCGTACTACTAGTGGTTTAAAGGAGAAAGTTTCTGAAAAACAAAGTGGAAGTTTCTCTCTAACATTACAGGATATTGTTTTCTATGGTATTGAGTTATATATGGATGAATTTCACGATCTTTTGGATCCTGCTAAACGAGTTATTCCAAATGTTGGGGATATTGGCGGTCTTGATGCGTTTTGTCAGGCAATGAATAATCCTCCTATGTCTGCAGGACGTAATGGAAATAATAATAATAATACTAATAATAATAATAATAATAATGCTGCTGGAAATATTCCTTTTCGTGGAGGAGGAGTACCCATATTAACAGTGGAAGATCTCCGTCGCTGTTATCATCTAGCTTCACGCAATCGTGTTACTAAAAGTCATCAACGTAATGATACAAGTTCTCGTTCTCATGCTATTTTTATTCTACAACTACGTTTTGATATGATGGATGTGGAGGATGCGAATAGTAGTAAAGGTGAAAGTAATCATACCCTTTTTACTTCTAATAATTGTAATGCTACTAGTAATACTACTTTAGGTACTACACCTAGTAATAGTATTGCTGCTGGAGTTGGTGTTGGTAGTGCGAAAGTGAAAAGTATTTATTCCTATGTTGCCATGGTTGATCTTGCGGGTTCAGAACGAGTGAAGGAGACAAAGGTGGAGGGATCTGCCCTTCGTGAAGCCCAATTTATTAACAAATCCCTATCCGCTCTCTCTGCCGTACTTTTAGCACTTTATCAACGTTCATCACATATTCCATATAGAGATTCTAAACTCACACGTCTTTTACGTCCTTGTTTACAATGGGGACATGTACTCTTATTAGTTCATGTTACTCCATGCTCCGCAGAGGATGCGATGAGTTCTCTCAAGTTTGCAGAACAAGTACGGCATACAAGTGTACAGAATCATAATCTTCTTAATGTCTCGGATGAACTGGTTGCCATATTTGAAGATTTAAATGATCCACATACAGAAGAACGTGTGGAGGCTTATCATCAAACAGAAGTTGAATATAAACAATTATGTGCAGAAGTACGACTTGCATATCTTACCCGTGATGAGAAGAAAAAACAACATAACACAATGGAGAATACTTCCATTTCACAGAAAACAAAGGATCATCGAAAGAAACGTGGAAAGATGATTAAATCCCTTGTCGAACAACACTTGAATGCATACACAAGGGAAGAAGAAGAAGTATTACGACGGGAAATTGCAGCCATTCAATGGGAATGGGAATGTTATGTGGAGAATTTTAAACGAATGCGGGAGGAAAATATTGAAATTATGCGAAGATGTATTGAACAACTTCGTATTCTTAATGCGAGACTTGCAGAGGAAAATAGTCAACCTGTATTACGTGATGCTCACGCAATGGCAATTAAACAACGTCTGAAAGATATTTCTTCTGAAATTACGGATTATGCAAAAGAAAAATTATTACTTTTAGAAGGTATTCGAACTATTCGTCAACGTATTGGACTTCAAAGTGAGTTGGAACTTTGTTTAGATGAACAACTGCAGATATTGGAAAAAAATACAACCAAATCTGGAAATATTCCTCGATTACATGTAGAAGATATGAACTTGGATGAAGAAACGGAGAAACTCTATCGAGAACAACTTCTCCTCTCAAAAGAAATGTCTTACCTTCGAGAAGAATCCACATGTTTTGTACATAGTGATGAGATATTAGAAGGATTATGGGCTCGTGTTGTTCGACAAGAACTTCTTCTTGCCTTTCGCATTGAAATGGAAATGATGGAAGGTATTCTACTCCGTCCACAGTCCCTTCGCTGGTTGTTAGAAGCCAATGGTATTTCACCAGATGAGGCCAGAGCGGTTGCGTGTCCAGCATCTGCAGGGCCAGTGGATGTGAAATGGCTCTTAGACACATTAGCCACCGCGAGAGAACAGAGATCGCGTAGTGCTAGTAATAATAATAATAATAATAATAATAATAATAATAATAATAATAATAATGATACTAATAATGATACTAATAATAAGAGTTCACATAAATGTACAGAAACACAAAGGTCTCCGGTTCCTACTATTCCCTTAACATTATCAAACGGAGATGAGACGAAAAGTCTACACACTCTTATTGGATGTTATGAAGATGAGGCAACTTTGCAAGAAATGAGTGTGGAGAAACTACTGCATGAGGGGATTTACTGTGCGGTAGTGTGTCCAATAATGACAGTGAATGAACTTCTAATGCCACGAACCTCAACACCTACGGTAGTAAATACAACACGAAATACAAATAATAGTGGAATGTTATGGGGATACTTAAGACTTGTACATCCCCCAAAAGATGCATCTTCTTATTGTCTAGAATTCTCACAACGTGTATATGTTAATAGTGAGAAGGTGCGGGAACGACGTATTATTTCTATTCCACTTGGTGAACCCCAATTACATATTATGTTACATGTTATTGAGGCAGAAGGACTTTTGAGAAGCTCCTCATGGAGTAGAGGATGTGGGACATTATCCCCTTCTGTTCCTGTGATTGCGATGGAATTAAATGGGGTTCCTCCCGCTAATTCTTTACATACCACACAATCTCAATCTCAACAACAATCTCAATCACAATCTCAACAACAATCTCAATCACAATCTCAATCACAACAACAACAACGGGGTCCATTATATGATGGAAATTCCAAATTAAGAGAGGCTATACGTCATGGTACGCCTCGAAATATAGAAACAACTAGTGGATTTATTGGACGTTCTCTCATCTCTGTTGTTGGTGAAAGTGCGGCTGTGCGGAATGCTGTAGTATCCAGACGATTAGAGTGTGGTGGGGAATTATTACTTCCAACAGATTGCATGGCGGCTTGTGAAGAAGGTAAAGGTACAATTATATTTCATTTCCCTAAACAAGTTATTGCCACCTCTACTCGTACAGAAGCTGTTGAATGTATTGTAGCCGCTCTCTCAGGTCTTACACTTCCAGTACTTTCATCTTTACATAATAATGAAGATGCAGCTGAAGGGGCATTATTAGGTGGAATACATGTTGTCACATATGAACACTTACCACATGTGTTATTACGTATACATAAACATAATAGTGCTATTGCAGATCCCGTACTTTTACGTGGACTTGGATTACCATCTCTTGGGTATGCAAGTAGTATGCATATACGCTTTTACTTTGAAGAGAACTCTATTGAGGGGGTAAATGGATTATTACATAATGGAAATTCATCACCTCACTCACCACGTGCACGCTTTGCAAAACCCATTATTGCTGCTAGCATTATGTTAAGTCAATTAGGAATGATATCTATTTCATCATCTAATATGAAAGGAGGAGGAATAGGAACAACAAGTGAGAGAAGTGATTTGGAATCTTTACTCTTACGTATGCAACAACTATATACTTTGCGGAAAAAAACACGTGCAAGAGTGCGACAGCAAATCTTTGATGCTGAAGATATTAAAGCTGAACTCTTGTATAGTTTCTCTGAAAGAGAATTCAGTCGTGGATCACATATTAAAGATGTCTTACGTGAGGCTAGAGATATTATTGACTTGCAGCATTATCGTTTAGGTACAGTCTACACATTGCGGGGTCCAGTGCGGGCAACACCGGGTTTATGTCGGGAAATGTGCGGTGGCGTTGTGCCGTGGACACTCTGGCAATGGGCCCATTGGTGGAAAACACTACAGGAGGCCCATCGACAACTGCAGAATTACCCATCCATCTACACAAACTTCCATATCACTAATAATAATAATAATAATAATAATAATAATAATAATAATAATAATAATAATAATAATAATAATAATAATAATAATGAGGATGATGAGGATGATGATATGGAGAATGAGGATATGGATATTGGGAATACTTTGCATAGAGATAGTGTGGAGGCTTCAGAGGCTGGGACGGGTATATCTAAAGATCCTTCAGCTACTACTACTACTGTGAGGGAAGGACACAATCACCCGGCTGTTTACTTTGATGATATTCCATACTTTCTCGCCGATATGGAATAGATATTGAGGTGGGGGAAAAGAAAGAAGAAAGAAGAAAAGGAATCACTTGCATTTTATTCCTTCATATTCTATCTTTATACTTATCTCTTTATTCTATTATTATTATTATTATTATTATTATTATTATTATTATTATTATTATTATTATTATTATTATTGTAATTATTATTATTCCCTTCAGCACAATACGAACTCACACGCACACACAAACCCTTTCTTTCTCTCTCTCTCTCTCTCTCTGTCTTTGTGGTGCGACTAGTGCTACAACTTCAAATCGCACTAGTGTTTTTTCTTTTTCTTTTTCTTTTTTTTAAAAAAAAAATTTATTTTACTTGTTTATGTATTTCTTTTCTTTTCTTTCTTTCCTTCTTGCTTTCTTTCTGTGTATATGTGTTATCATTTATCTTAACTCTCTTTTTCTTCACTACTCCCATCTCCCTTTTTTTTTTTTTTCTCTTTTCATTCAATCTCTCTCTCTCTCTCTCTCTCTCTCTATTCCACATGCTGCTGGATCTAAACAACATCTCCACAAATAAAAAAAAAAAGAAAAAGAAAGAAATGGACTCCGACGACGATATTCAACTCCCACCACCGCGGCCCGCCATCACGTTGGACGACTCCGATGATGATTTACCGCCACCCGCCGCCCTCCAGGCAAATAATAAACAACAACAACAACAAACATCAACATCATCAACAACTGTAAAGTCTGCGGCTGTTCCTATTGCAGTAACACCTAAAGGAATAACATCTGCACATAATGGGAATGGCGTATCTAAATCAGGAAATGGAAATGGAAATGGTTCGCCACTGACAACAATGGGAAAGAAATCACTATCAGGATCTGTAAATGTGCAAGATACAGCACAACAGCAGCAGCAGTTATTACAATCCCCTACAGATTCAAAAGTAAAAGTGGTTCCTGCGAAAGTATATAAGGAGGGTTTTCTGTTGAAACAACAACCAAGTTGGCCTTACAGTAATCAAAAACGATATTGTGTACTTAAAAACTGCAAACTGTACTATTTTGACTCTCAAGAAAGTATGAAAGAGGGTAGACCACAGGGTGTAATTGATTTAAGTAACGCCAAACTTGTGGATCCAGGAAATGATGCGAAACTACCGTCTAACTTTGGCATTCATGTGGAAGGCGAGCGTCCTGCAGAGGGAGGCAACAGTAATGGGAATGGGAATGGAAATGATAATAATAATAATAATAATAATAATAATAATAATAATAATAGGAAACAACGAACGTTTATATTTGCTGTTATGCACGCTCACGAGTTGGGTGAGTGGAAGGCGGCCATTCAAGCTGTTGTTGGGGATGTTGTGGAGGAAGAGGAAACACATTGGTTTGAAAAAATGGTCCAAGGTATTTTTTAAAGTAAAAAAAAAAAAGAGAGTAATATTATATTATATTATGTTATTTATTTCTATTATTTAGTTATATTATTTAGTTATATTATTTATGTTATTTTTATAGGTAAGGAAATATATGCGAAGTTTTTTTCTTCTTTTTAGTTATTATCGAGTTTTCAACAAGGGTGTATGTGTGTGGTATTGGTACTAGTGACTAAATGACAGGATTTCTCTCTTTTTTTATTCTTCTTTCTTTCTTTTTTTCCTTACGCTATTATTATTATTGTTGTATTTATTTTGTTTTTTATTTTATTTTATTTCTTTACTTTCTTGCTCCCTTATCATTCCTTCTCTTACTTCCTTTCAAAAAGGAAAAAAAAAAGAGAGAGAAAGAAATACATTCTCCTTCTTTATCCCTTATTCTCTCTCTCTCTATCCTTCTCTCTCTCTCTCTATATATATATATATATATATATATATATATATATATATATTAGTTCCACTCACCTCTCAATCCCACCCCTCTCCCCTCCCATCTTTGTATGTAAAAGTATATGTTCACGCGGAGTAGTGGGACTGAACAAACACCCAGCGGTGTTCTCACACGGCACAGCAGCAGAGATATCAAATCGCCCAGTTGGGAACTTCTCCGCAGTGACGATTTCTCTTCTTCTCCCACCGTAGACACCAACAGTGAAACCCGGTGGGTCTTAGACATCACGGATCTCCAACTCCCTAAAAGAAAATATCCGGAAGATATTCTCTCAACATCACCAGGCCCAAGTCCACCTCAGACACTTGTGGATTATTTACTCCAGGGAATTCCCGCCGCCGCCGCCGTCCACAAGAGTCGAGATTTCACGGGAAGAAATAATTTCACACTTGAGGGAAAAGTCAATGAGGAGTTGTGGTCGCTGCTCCTCCCACCAGAGCCCATTGTCCATCCAGCCACACACCACATGCAAACAGTCAGTGGATTCTCAACAGGTGAAGATTCTAAAGAGATAAATACACCATTACAACAACAACAACAAGAAGATGAAGAAGAGGGAAAAGAGAGAATTGCTGCTGTACCGCTACTGCGGCGTAATGACAGAAGAATGACGCCATAAATATATATATATATATATATAGAGAGAGAGAGAGAGAGAGAGTAGTAGTAGTAGTTAGTTAGTTAGTTTTGTAGACTACTATTATTACCATGGAGATTAATCCGAAACGTAATGAGAGAATGAGATCTCTAACGGAGTTTACGTGGAGAGGGGAATAAGGTACATCTGGAATAACATTATCATTATTATTATCAATATGTTATTATCAATATTAACAAGACGTTGAAAAGTTGCATATTTGCATTATTATTACACTGAATTCATTCTGGGCGATGATGTCACCCATCACTGTTTGGATGATTCTGTTGTCTCTATCGCTTTCACATGCACACACACACACACACTATGTATATATGGAAGGTTCCTGAATTCCAAGGAGAGGTCTAACGCCAAAAGTATTTCTTTCTTGAGAGGCGGAAAACGAAAAATAAAAGAAAATAATAATAATATACTTTTTTTTTTATTATGTGGTGTGGTTTACACGTTCTATACATTTACTTCATAGTGTTAGTGGATTGTATGCTGTTGAGTGATATTGGCAACGACCCTGCTACTTTCTTGCGATGATGTGAAAAACTCTAGTGAGAGTAAGAACAACAACGGTCTAATGGAGTCTTGACTTGCCTATATATATATATATATATATATATATATATATATATATATATTTTCTCCCTGGTGTAGATGAACTGATAAATACGGAAAGAAAAGAAAAGTGGGAATGAAGAATGAGGGAAAATGAAAGGGGATTGAAACCAAAGAAAAAAAAAAAGGGAAAAGAAAACAATAGTGGAGATACATACATGATAACAATTCATAACTCCCTTTATTGTTTTGATCCCACAGTGTTTTTTTTTTCTTTCTTTCTTTCTTTTTTATTTCTCTTTCTTTCTATCTTTTAATTGTGTTTCACCTTCATTTGAATAGAAGGAACTGTGATAACACTAACATCAACAGTGGAAAGAAATAAATAAATAAAGAGAAAAGAAAATATATATATATATATATATATATATATATATTCATCAATGCGACATTTTAATCCACGTTTGCGTAGTGTCTTTGGTGGAATTGCTGAGCGACTGCGGCGATTGCACACAGAGTATGAATTGTGGTGTGATCGAAGAGAAGATGAACGAACAATCAATACAGCTGCGGCCTTTGCGAATGATGAGACTGCAAGCCATATTGACTATGGGACCTCCAACAAATATCGTATTCGTTGTAATCCCGACGCATGTCCGCGAAGTGTACTTTTAATTCCCGCGACTGGAATTGCGGATATGTGCCGAAAACAAAAGCGACATTCAATTGCAGCGGATGTTATTATTCTTGATTTAACAAACTGCAATGTACCCGGCGGGGAGGCACGTGACGCTATCATGCGGTTTATAGAGTCTAATGAAAATAAACCAATAGAGAAGAAAACTAAACAAGATACTACAGAGAAGAAGAAGAAGAAGGAAGAAAAAGAAGAAAAAGAAAAAGAAGAAGAGGGTGTACGTTATATAGTTCGTGTAAACTCCCCTGAACTTGATCCAGTGAATGGTATTCTGGATATGGAAATGATTGCACTGCTTGGTAAAAGCATTGAGGGAGTGGCGCTGCCAGCAGTAACGAAGAACACATATGCACTAGTAGAGGAATATATACATCCCAGTCATCGCCTGTGGGCCTTCTTTAATACCCCACGCTCTGTTGTGCAGGCGGCGGAGATCTGTTCACAGGGATGTTATCACTATGCCGTTATGGACACAGCGGAGATGAGACAGAACTTACATTTAACACCAATGATGACAACACCAACAGGTAAAGATAACAACAACGATGACAACAAAAGTGATACTAATAATATTAATAATATTAATGTTAATAATAATAATAATAATAATAATAATAATAATAATAATAATAATAATAATGATAATATTATTGGGGTGGACCTTCTGCAATCTCTACCACTATTGTATAGTAGTTGTCAGGTGATAATGGCGGCTCGAGCCTATGGGATGTTTGTACTTGATGGACCTTTCATGGACACTGCAGACAAGAGTGGATTTCGTCATAATCTCACTCACTCCCGTGCAGTTGGTTTTGATGGGAAAGTCGTACTGCGACCGGCGCAGATCACGGCATGTCATGAGGCCTTTACGCCAACAAGAGAAGAGGCGGAATGGGCACGGGAATTGCAACAACAATTAAATCACAAACGCCATAATGAAATTGTGTTGGGGCGAGAAGAAATGCTGCAGTGGCAACGGGCCATTTCTGTTTTGCAGAGATATAATGAGGCAGAATTGGAACGTAAAAAATCATAGATGTAATGAGTGAGTGAGTGAGTGAGTGTGTATGTATGTATGTATGTGTGTGTAGAAGAAGAGAGAGTAAGAAAGCGTGTGTGTCTATATACAAAATTCCGTTATCGTTTTTTATTTTTTTATTTTATTCTTTCTATGTATGTATAATAGATCTATCTATCTATCTATGTGTGTGTTTCTCAATCTCAGGAGTGAGAGTTTTAGATGTATTGTATCTTTCAATCTCTCCCTAAAAAAAAAAAAAAAACACAATTCCTTTTTCTCTTTGTTTTTTTTTTTTTTCTTTTCATTCTTATTTCTAGTTAGAAGTCCATCTGAGTACGGGCAGTTGCCTCTCTAACTGCAGTTAGTTTCTGTGTGTTTGTGTGTGTTTGTGAATGTCCGGGGATGTTGGTAGTGGTGATGTCAGCAGACGACAGGGAGTGAGTGATATGCTCTGTCATCACTGTGGAGCGCAGTTCAACAAGGCAACCGCCAAGTTCTGTTCAAAGTGTGGTACGAAAAAGAAAGCGGCTCCTTCTTCCAATCGTAGGAGTTCACAAATAGAGGAAAAGCTTTCGGCATTAAAACAACAAGATGCAAAGGCTACTACAACCTTTAAATTGGGAGACCATATAGGCAGTGGTAAGGCGCATAATAATAATCATAATCATAATAATCATAATAATAGTAATAATGCTGTTTCTAATCATCATCATCATTATGGTACGAAGAATAGTACGGGTAATGTTAGTAATACCAGCAATGGTAGTAGTAGTAGTAATCGAGTGCCTTCCTCTGGGGCTGCACCTTCACGATTACCACCTATTCAACAAGGATCCTCCTCAGGAGTGAGGAAGGACGAAGGAGGAACACAAGATAGTACAGATGATGATGGTACCTTACGGGCAACACCAGAGGAAGAAGAAAAGTACAGTGCATGGGCTACATTAGGTGCAGATGGAATTACACCAGAGATGTTGCAAACAAATAATGCAGCGGAACTTAGTACATGGCGACGAGGTCTTCTTATTGGTAGGGGAACATATGGTTCTGTTTATTTGGGTTTACTAAATGATGGATCTTTTCATGCTGTGAAGTGTGTGGAGATTGGGGGAAAGACAGGTGTATTCAGTGCAAAGGAACTTGTTTCTCTTTCACGAGAAATTAATATGATGCAGCGCCTTCATCATAAAAATCTTTGTACTTTTAAAGGTGTCATGTATGATACTTCTAATAATACGATATGTATGTTTATGGAATACATAGGTGGTGGATCTCTCTCTTCACTCGTAAAGAAGTTTAAACCACTTCCACGTGATGTCATCCGTCGCTGGACACGCCAACTCCTTGCTGGACTTCTCTATCTCCACTCCCAACGTATTATTCATCGTGATATTAAAGGGGATAATCTTCTTGTAGACACTTCGAGTGATCCAAAACTGGAGGCACAAATTAAATTGGTAGACTTTGGGGCCGCTCGCCGTTTATCGGATGCGGTGGCCCAAAGCCGCACGGTGATTGGCACACCATACTGGATGGCCCCAGAAGTAGTGGACGTCACTGGGGAGGGAGAGGGATATAGTTATAAGGCAGATGTGTGGTCTGTCGGCTGCACTGTGGCGGAGATGATTACAGGCAAACCACCGTGGCCAAGTAAAGTAAATGCACCAGCGGCTATTATGATGATTGCACAGGCAACCAATGGTCCAACGGAGATTCCAGAGGAGGAGGCCTCACCAGGATGTTTGGATTTTATGCGAAAATGTTTTGTGCGGGATCCGGAGCAACGACCAACCGTAGAGGAACTCATGCAACACCCATGGATTCTAGGAGAGATAGAGTAATGATGTTTTTCTGTGTAAGTTTTTGCGTTTATCTTTTTTTTTTTTTTTCTTCTTTACTTTTGTTGTTGTTATTATTGTTATTATTATGGATTCTTTGTTCGTTTGTACATACGGTGGCTTTTTCTTTGTTTTTTTGCATTTATGACTTTTTCCTAATGGTGAAATGATAATATCATTGATGGATTGACGAGGATGATGATTGAAAATAGTGGTGATGATGCTGATGATGTTTGCAGGTGTTTCTTCCACTTTTCCTGCTTTTTTTTTCCCTCTTACTTATCTATTTGTCCTTTTTCTATGTGAGGACACATTTATTTTACCTTTTTTATTATTTTTCCGTCCTCTTCACACTGGATCTATATCTATTTATATATCTATCTATATATATTGTTTTTCGTTTTTTTTTTTTTATTTCTATTGGAGCGGCTATAGAGACATCTCTAACCCCACACCCACCATTTGACGTGCGAACTCACGTCATCATGTATAATTTTTTTTTTTGATTATTAGTGGGAGATGAAAACAACAACAACAAAAAAAAAAAGAAAATAAGAAAAAAAAAAGACGAGAAGAACCGCAAAAAGAAAAAGAAGCGTTTATAAATAGTTTTTTTTTTCCTTTTTAGTACATCCGTATGCGCATCAGTCTTTGGAATTTTTATGGGGAGAAGTGGAGAACGAATACACTTTGTTTTTTAAGAAGATAACAATAAAGAACTGAAGTACCATTATGATTTCAACTTTTATAATAATAATAATAATAATAATAATAATAATAATAATAATAATAATAATAATAATAATAATAATAATAATAATAATAATAATAA